ACGCAATCGATAAATGAGAAGTCGGTACAAATTAAAACTGAATATGTATATACATGTACATAGATATATATTTTTATACCCATCACCGAAGGATGAGGGATATATTCATTTTGTCAAAACGTTTGCAAAGTCCAGAAGGAAGCATCAGAGACTCCACAAAGTACATAAATTCTTGGTCAGTTTTAAATTTGGAATACACCTAAACTTTGATATATTTTTAGTAAACATATTCTTGCTAGCGAAAATAAAGATAACTCCTAAAAGTCTGCAAAAGAATTTGGAATTGACCTAAACTATTTAAAGGACACGCCTACAACGCTCACATACCTATACGATAAAAATTTTTATTTTGAAAATAGAAGAAATCAGCTGGGCCCACTCCATATTATAGAACGCGAAAATTTTGTTCTTGTACTTTTTTTGCCTTTTTTAGTACAACGGTGATGGGTATAAAAGATTCGGTCCCGACCGAATTTAATTTTCTTACTCTTTTTTTTCAAAAGGTTATGGTATCAAAATATTCAGAACAGAAAGGCATTGCCTAACAAGATTTATTGTTTGTTTTTATCAAAGACTTATATTATTTATGGGTTCTAAACCATAGGTATTTGTATGCAATGAAAACTTTTGGTAAACTTTTAATGGAAATAAATATATTGTTCTCGTAGCTTGTTCTTTTTTTTTACCATGGAGAGATTGATTATTGATGTCGAAAATCGTTAAATGTTCTGAATATGCGCATAAACAATTACAACAATGGCGAAAAGTAATTTAGAATATTAATACCGACACAAAATAAGCATTTTCCCATGAACGAGTATGTGTTTCAGGTATGTCGATTTATTTATTAATTTTCATTTAAAATTTTTTTATGTATTTTTTGTTCAAGAAGTATCAGCCAAAATAAAAATACCATCTACTGGAAATAACGAGTGGAAACAAAATTTTATTGATGCTAATTAAAGGGAAAATTTTAGGGTTAGCATTTTCTCTGTCTTCATTGCATACGCATGACCACACATTATTTCACCAGTGATTATATCTAATTTTCGCTTCTTTTTTTTTTTTAAACTTAATATCCTTTGCGTTTCAAATAGTAACATTAAAAATAATTCTTATGTATTCTTTGTTGTTGTTGTTTTTTTTTTTTTTTTGATTCTTAAACTGTTTTACAGGCAAGCGGTAAAAGTGTAATGCTCTTGTTAAGAATACACTGAATGAACTCCATTCATAAATAAGCGTACTAAGAAGCGTGGTTATGTATTGAAAAGTTGAGAAAGATTACGCTTTTGAATAACTTTTTTAGATGTATTTTTGCTTGTTCGTTCGTCCGTTCGTTTGTCCGATGGTTTGCTTTATACATTAACATGAAAATTTATCACACCTTGAAAGCATAAATTATGTAGCTATACGTGCAACTGTTGTTAAGAAGAGCAACTATAAGAAGCAAAACAAAAATATGGTAAAAAGATATGCTGTTCAACAAAAGCAATAGCAACAAACAGAAGCTTAAAAATATCGCAAAGTAAGGAAATACGCACAACACGATCACCAAAAAAAAGTTGTATATGTATTATATATATCAACAAAAATAAGAAGCTTTAAACCAACAACCAAGCCCGCGCTGTTCAGTTGTTACGTTGCTTTGTAGATAGATTTCATTGTACAACATGAAAATTGAGAATAAAGTAAGCAGCAAAAAAACAAAGAAAAGGCACGCATTAATTGTGTAGCTTCTGGTTAACAATAAATGTAATATATGGTAAATATTTTTTTTTTCAAAATGATAAAAAAGAAAATATATAAAAAAAAGAGAACAAGACACAAATAACGCACAAGCATAAGTAAGTATCAAGTTTTGCTTATCAGACCAAGTATAAAGAGACGGAAAGGTTAGAAGTGAGGGATGCGTATAACATATATAATATATTATATATATATATACATATATGTCAAAAAGCTGACGTCAATAGCGTTTTGGTGTAAATTAGATCAGCTGTATGTTTGTGTGCATATATTTATGTAAGTATGGGTACACGCGTGTTCGTGTACGTACTAATGTGTCTTCTGTAAGTGTACATTTATTTTCATTCATTACAATTAAAATCTAGTTAAGACTTTTTACTTAAGTAATTCAATAACATTTTGCTTATACATATACTAACTAATGTATGTTTGTGACGATGTAACAGTTTGTCTGTTTGTTTAAAACAAAAAAAGCAGAAAGACAAAACCGTTTTGTAATGTTGAATTTTTCAGAAAGTGTCGTAGATAACCGAACTCGATATATGAGTATTGAAAGCAACAAATAAAGAAAACAACAACTTTTACTTTTTATTTTTGTTTCTCTGTTCTTATACTTTCTTGCTATGTATATTTAAGTACATTAACACAGCGCAGACACAGGTGACTAACACTGATACCGGCAATTTAAGTATTTTGGACAACAACTTTACTACATCAGTAATATATATACGTATGTAAGAATGAATACATTTATCTCTCTCTCTCTATGTGTGTATTTGTCTGTATAGTTAGTTACTATAGTTGCTCGTGTTGTTGTATATTCATCATCAAAAAATACTTTGTTATCTATTCTTGGGCGTCTCTCTCTCTATCTCTCTCTGTCTGCTTTCACAAAACACATAATATTTTATTTTTTGTTGAAAATGTGTGGCGACTTGTTTTAATGTGTTATTCTGCTACCAATAAAACACTCAAGAAAGACAGACAGGCGGACAGATGGACAGACAAATGCAGAAAACATGTAATACTTGCCACTTTACATACTTTACGAAACAACAATTGTTTCTTATGGTTACTTGTAAAATTTTCATATATATTTTTTTTTGCTTCTACTTATTAATTAAAATCAATGAAAATTTTCTCTGTGTACGGCGTCGTTTACTGCATTTAATAGGTAAATTTATCTTATTTGACAAAAAAGCATATTGTTCTTCTTTCATTCTTTAGTAGTAAAGCGATAGGGAAAATTGCGTACCAGGAACGGAACATATATATAAAATTTATAGGAAATGTTTTCTAGAGAAATTACAATTTTTTGTAAAGGCAAAAAATTTTAAATTGAAAACTTTAAACTCGTTCTAGTAGGCTCGCAAATATTTCTTAGATTTCTTTTAGATTCGTTAAGATTTGGAGTAACATGAAGTTTAAGGTCGCTCCATAATCAAATACGCTTCCATAATGAGCGTCTTTCGACGATTGCGTAACATATTGAGCTGCCTGTTGGAAAAACATTAAATTACTTTCAACTGCTTACTGGAATTGATAGGAGTAGGCATTGCTTTTAGCAATCTTTTTTTAATCGTTATCGATTTTAACTGTTGTTAACAATTGCCTAACGAACACGAGAACCAACTAATTTTAGATGACCTCACTTCAAACCTTCTTTATTAATATGACCTAGAAATACAATCTGAGGGATAAAAATTTTGGGATCGATAGTTGTTGATTTTTAACACTTAACTCTATGAAATACTTCATGAAAGTTTTATATGAATTTTGTTGATGGAAACATAAAATCGTTATGTAGTCGAAAAAAAAAGATTGACATTTATGTTTAAATTTTCCTTTCTTTTCTTTCCCATTTCCTCAGACAGATGCCGAAATTA